GGTAAAATGACTGTAACAATCATTGTGCAGGATGCTGAGAAACGTGCACTGTCATCTGTGTGTGGACGTGCCACTGATCCCAGTGCCCTGTATTGTTGTCTAAGCTATCAACAGATCAAGCTCCAATCTTCAATCTTCAGATCTGTGTGACAAGCAACCTTAGCACTGAAGCTGTTATTAGTCAGAGTTTAAGTAAGGAAGTTCTGATGGTCTTTGTGCTAAAATGCAGAATCCTGTTCCACACAAAAAATCTTGGTGCCATGACTGTAATGAATTGTGATGTTAAGTTAGTGTTGTTAGAAATGGTCTCCAACAAACAATTGTTGTCATAAGAGGTAACTAAGAGGATTTGGCTTTGCTGTGTTCATTGACAAATGTCATCGTATCCCAAATGTGTAGATTGATGCTCATGATGTCAGTGAATGGATTGTCTGGTCCACACTCAATATTTTACAGACTGCTGGAAAACTGCTGAGTGCAGTATAAACAACAAACAAATCTCATGTTAAGCTGATCATGATGATTTAGTTGTAAACCCAACTCAAACTTCAGAACCATAATAGAACCTTGAAGACCCTTAACTGGTGTTCAGCAACTGTGTCCGTCGTAAGAGACAACTAACAGGATCGGAGGGTCAGGCTTGCTGACTTGGTTGAAACGTGTCATCATGTCCCAAGTGCAAAGATTGATGCTCATGATGGCAATCATGCAATTGTCTGGTCCTAATGGGGCGGTGGGGTAGCCTAGTGGTTAAAGCTTTCGCTTGTCACACCAAAGGCCCGAGTTCGATTCCCCACATGGGTACAATGTGTGAAGCCCATTTCTGGTGTCCCCCGCGGTGATGTTGCTGCAATATTGCTAAAAGCGGCATAATACCATACTCACTCACTCACTCACTGGTCACAGACTGCCATCATATAGGTGGAATATTGCTGACTGTAGTATTAAACAACAAATAAACAAGCAAACAAAGCAAAAACAAACATAATATGTTTCTCGTAACATGTCTGAAAGTGACAGCAGATGCTGTGTATGTAATCAGGTTGATGGACTGGACATTGCCATATAAATGATGTTACACGGACATGAGGAGCTGAAGCATACTAAAGAGCTGGGATTGATTTCCCAAATGTGTGAAGCCAATCTTGGCACTCCCTGTAATATTGCAGGAATATTGTTTATATTGAAAAGGACCCTATCTCACTGATTCAGAGGAAACGACTTGCTTTATTTAGGGCGGATGCCCAGTTGGCAGCATACAGAATGATGAGCCTAATGTGAGTGTCAATAAGCTGCTCTTGCATACAGATAGCTGTATCTACAGGCTGCATGGCCTGGTGTTAAACAGCAGATGTTGCTTTTACTGTACCTGTTGATGCCACATGTCAGCCTCAGCCATCAGATCGCCTGTTGCTATAGTGTGACTTCAAGTAGTGCAGAAAGCTGTTACACATCCTTCCTGCATCAGTACAAGCAGGCTGTTTAGGCAGGCAATTTGCAGGTGACATGAGCAGGTGTGATGCATTGTTTTACAATGGACATATTGAATAGAAAGAAGCTGGCTGGTGATTTTCAAGGTTATAAAATATAGTGTGGTGTGTTTAGTAATAATAGTATTCTTGAAGCAGGTTACTGTAGCAGCATATTTATTTTCTTGCATTTGTGAAAATTGTTGCTTGTTGGAAATGTATGTTTGACATGTTGGATGGAACAGAACCTCTAGATGCTAATTAATGTTTCAACCTGTTGTCAGCAATATTGTTACCATGACACACAATACAAGTGGAGCAACATAAACTTGTGGTTAATAGTAGGATCAAGAACCATTCTGTTGATAATGGTCAAGGTTTTGCATGTTATCACCTGTCCATGTAATGATTGTTCTGAGAAACAGGTGTTACTGCTTGGTCCCAGTTTTGGTTTGGTTGTACATGAGGTGTGAAGGTTTTTGTGTCTATTTATTCAGAAATTTTGTTTGGGGAGAGACACAGGGGGATGGGCACAGGAGAATAGACAAAGCTAAAAAAATCCAAAGCATCTGACATATTAATCTGTATTAGTACACTGAACATGCATTTTAAGGCCTACCAGCTGTTGCTACATTCATGATGACCAAACTGTTTCCGTCCTATGTCCATATGATTATTAAGTATCTGGTTTATATGAACATATTTAAGAACACAATCATGATAAACAGTGAAAAACATTTGACTTCAAGAATAATTAAGTTAACCATGACAAAAGAATATGACATCATGCACACTGGCAGTTGTGGTACAAACACACCCTGTATTGTTTGTCATGAGACATGATTTACCTTAATTCTTTACAGTAAATGCTACATGCATGAATATTAATCTGAATGGTTTGTAATACTACTGACAACTCCATTTTCCTATTTACAAACCCAAAAGGCATAAACAGTTCAACTAGACAGAGATGCTCGAAACTTAGTTTACCACTGTGCACAGCCATCTTAGATCTCTATGCACCCTTCAGAAAGGGAGATAACCCATCTGACTTTCCTCATGACTAACATTATTAATCAAACCTGCCATTAGGATACATTAATTGATCCATCAAACTGATAAATACAATAAAAGTCAGCTTGCAACATAATAAAACTGTCATACTTCATGGTTTTACAAATATACACCTCTCATCAAACTTAAAAGGAAAATTCAATTTACCATATTACATATTCTTTTATTTGAAAAATCTTCTGGATATTTTCAATAATAATCTGTCAGCGTCCTAAAACATGGTTCATCTAAATCCCTGCAACCACCTGTGAGGTGTTCAACTGAAAGTTTCATCGACAACCAAGAATGTAATTAGAAAACAGTCACGAGTTCATCACACACCTGCACATATTGCATTACACGATCGTGATGGTGTTATTTGTATCGTGTCCCACAGTGCAGTGTCTTGGAGATAGGAAATATAGAGGGAAACATGTTCTGGGGATATTTTGTTTTTCATGTTGATGCACTCTGACTTACATGGCACAGAGATTACCAGTGTGATGTTACTATGAGGTTTTGTGAGGGAGGATTCCAGGTAAGTTCAGGTACCAGGTAAGAAGAGTCAGTGGATTGGATGGCCAGGCTTGGTCACTTGTTGATAGTGGACTCCATGATGTGGTTCATTGCTTACAATATTGGTCACAGGATCATCTGGCCCAAATTCAGTAAACTACATTTATGATGACAGTGTATAAAATAGTTTTGAAATATGGCCTGTCCAAGGACTGGCTGTCCCAAAATGTGACCAGTCCTGAACAAACACAGCCAGTCCCAAAAACTAAAACAATGAAAAAATAATAGATGAGGCGAAGTTCAAACCAAGTTAAGTTTGTTTTTTCATATTTTCTCCCGACCAAAGGATGGCCTTACTTATTTAACAGACCGTCCTTCACAAAAATAGACCGTCAAGGATGGTGGGATGGGCTATGTTTTATACACTGATGATGAACACACTTATAAGGAACTGACAGATATATTTGCATGTGTTTTTGGTCCAAGTCAATGGCTATATATTTCAGTTGAAAAGCGTATAAAAAACTAGTGTTGGGACATTGGTTAACATCTCACAATTGATGATTGGTTCATGACAATCGATCAATCATCGAAAAAAATAATTGGTTAGCGTCATTTATCAAATTCTCCTGGTTATGGTTGTTAACGCACAAAAATATAGAAAAAAACATGTAGTTCTTTTCGTTTTTTTTTTGCAAATTACACAAAATGCATTTACAAATTTCACATCTTAAAGGATGACTAGTATGGTATGAACCTAAATTTCATGGATAATTCAATCATGACAAGGAATGAGCTTGTAGTGCTTGTGAAATGTAACAGACAAAACCAACCTTGTGAAAATGGTTGTTAATGCAAACCAGTGTTCCAAAATTGTTTGTGTTCGATTATGAGAAAACATGATCGATTGCTTGGTCGCTTAGTCATTGCAACCAATCTTCGATTATTTCAATTAATCGGACCACCACTATAATAAACTACTGTTATAACGAACTAAAGTTAGTGGTCCCATTGTGCTAGTTATAGCCATACCATGAATCAGTGTATTCACACGCTCTAATCTTATAGCTCGGAATATTTCTGTGTACTGCAAACAAACAAAGTAACCAATGTACTTGTTTCCAAACCTTGGACAAGAAAGGGTGATAGGGCTTGTTTCCATGAAAAGTCATTTCACCATGCATGCAAACTTAACTTTCATCATGTTCATTCAATGATGGATGTTGGCAGAGGCCATTTTATTGATTCTTACTTATCTTTTCAGAGATTATTGACAAATCGATAACGCCCTGAAACATTTTATTTCCTCTGAATGCTTTGTTTTATTTTATCATTTTAAGCAGGAATATTTTTTTAGAGGTCATTTCATGACCAAGCAATGATCTTTTTTTTAAAAAGAGGTGAATCTTCTCAGCAAAATTGTGTGGTCATTGATGGAATTCTGGGTCATTGTGGGTCAAATCGTGTCCCCAGCATCCCTTGTCCATAGAGATGACAAAGAGGAATGGGAGGTCACTGTGCTTGATATGGCTGATGTTCACTCGTCATGCTGAAGATCCAGGTTCGATTCCCCACATGGGCACAATGTGTGAAGCCCATTTCAGGTGTTCCTGGTGGTGATGTTGCTGGACACTAACAGCGCCTTAAAGCAATACTCACTCATTGACGTGGCTGAATGTGAACACATGGACTGGTGCTCATGTGATCAACCAATGGTTTGTCTTGTTGAAACTGAGATATTTACAATGACTATGGCCATAAATTTGCATGTTGAGGCAGAATGTATTCATTCATCTGAAAATCAGTGATTTTGCCCATCATATTTTTTAAACTGACCACAACAAAGATTTAACCCTTCATGATTGTTTATTGATCAAGACTAATCAAGACCAAGGTGGTGGTGGTGGTGCTTTAGCTGTTGTTGTTTACTGTCAGTTATTTTTGTTTTGTATTATTTTTCAGCTTGTTTACCTGAACAGCATGAAATAGAAGGGCTTTGATAAAAACTACAGATGCGTTGTAACAGGAAAATGTTCTGGAAACACCTCATGACGGTACAGCCTTGACCTTTTAACTAACCTTTCATAACATCTCACGTACAGACTGTTCCTGAGCACGCCTAAACCTGCCTGATAGCATTACAGTTACCAATGGTTACATTGTTATGCATCCCAATATGTTCTACTAACCCATCATCCAATTACTGCCTGTGTACCAATATAGGATGCTCAATATAAATATCACTGCTTCTGCCTGTACATTGTGTAGTCATCCTCACTGTCATGTGGGTCACTTTTGATGGCTTCAGGGCTGTGTTTTAATGGTTCTTGGTACCTTTCCTTTTGGATTCTGACCTTTAAATAATTGTTGTTGAAACCGACAGTGACATCTAAGAAAGGTTTGACTTGAGAGGAGAAAAGGCTTTAATTAACAATGTAGCAAGGGGTAGACTCCTGCGGTCAAACCCATCTTGTAAGACTAAGGCTTAGTCCCTGAATATATATAATTTTGATTGTAACAAATAAACCCATTTAAATTGAAAACAAGTTGAGTTGGGAGATTCTGAACCTGAACCTGGAGTAATCTAGACTTGCTTAATTTAGGGCTTTAGCATTGCAGGGTGGGCTAGGCAGTAGGGAAAATATTGTGGTTCCAGGACTGTGAGACAGACTACCATTTTTGTCTGCAGCTCATTTCAGCCTGGACCTAGTTTTGGGGAGAAAACAGAAAGTCACTCTTGACTATTGTGTCTATCTCTGCTGGTGAAACATTTTGATGGATTGATATTTAAATGTATTGGAGTATTGTGTGACGGCAGCTTGATGAAATGACTGTTAGGACTTTGAGGAAGTGGACTGTAATAATATTGGCTGTAGAACCTATCACAAGTCAAGGGTTGTTTTATTACTGATAATGTTTATGGAAATATATCGTGCAGAGATTTTCTTGCATTAGGTTGTCAGTGTGTAAGACTAAAACAGGGCTCCAGATAAGGGGGCGTATGTACGGCTAAAAAATATGCATGATACGGTAGGAAATAATTTAGAAAACGTAGCAGATACGCATTGCAGCAATGGTGTACGGTCTCATTTACGAATCATTTACAGATGTCTTTGTCTGAAAAAGTATTATTATATTGTTTATTGCCCTGTTTACACAAGAGTAGGAATGTTGTGGTGCATATATGAAACGAAACACAAGGTTACTGATACTCCATTAAATTCCATTCTGTACTCTAAATGTACTCTTAAGGTTTTCCAGTATTCCTTTATTGCAAAAATAAGGAGTACGTACTCTTGATGTTGAAAAATTATCTGGACTAAAATATTCACTGACATTAAGAAATATGATTGTGTTAGAGTTGTGTCCTGCCATGCATATAATATTCAGTGAGGAACTGAACCTAAACTTGAGAAATTCTAGACAATGCAGAAAATTTACCAGTCTGTCCTTTTCATTGAAAAGACATTAATGCAGAGCTTCAGATTACCTGTTTATTTGGAAAGATGGATTTTGCTACGTAGTCATTTATTAATTTGCTGTCACTGTTTAATCTAAAATTTACATGCTCTAGTTCAAACAGCTTTTATGGGTTATTTTTATTCAAACCTTTTTCATAAAAATTCAGATGGTGTCAGTAATACAAAAGAGTATATTCTGATATTTAGCTTGATATATTGAGATTACTACACGAATAAGTGTGTCATGCGACTTATACGAAACAAGTGAGAAATTTTGTATTGCCCAAGTTTCATATAAGTCGTGTGGAACACTTGCGTGTAATAATTTCTTTGGTATCCATTTGATTCATGTACATTTGTGCAGTAAAACACAGTAATCAAGTGTGACTGCCCTGTTCATTGACGTCACGTTCAATTGTTTAATGACGCCCTAGCCGACAAAATACAGAAACAGTGGTTGCTAGGCTAAAGTTATGTTTGCACATGTGTGCATATGATATATATGACACTAGTTATGTTTCACCATATGCATAATAAAATATCATTATTTACTATTGGTGAAGACAGAATATTGGACACTAAACCAGGTGATAACCTCAGTTATTTCCTTAGTGCCATGATTACACTATATGTAGTATAGTGTTCTGGTTTGGTTTGCTTAGTAAGCTATTCGGGACAGGTTATAACATCCATGTTTGAATACAGTGATTCAAATGAATATAAATTAGTAGCACAAATAATTCAGGGTTTGGGATAGAGAACTTTGACAATGGGCCATTTTCAGGATTATTAGCCATTTTCTGAATTTAGAATGGGCCACTGCCCTTGTATTAATCATGTAAATAGTAAACTTCAAAATTTTAATGGGCCAGTTTTTATTCTTATGTATCAAATGGCCCATGGCCCCTGCCTTTCCCTGCCAATCTCTATTATAATGGGAATAGTGAATATAGAAAAAACACGTCCATACGAAAAATATCTCACAGGCTGGATTTGCACTAACTTGATTTCAGATTTAAACTGTTTTGTTGAATAGTTGTTGAAAAATGGTATAGTGATGTTTATTAAATGATGATGAAAAATCGTGTTAAAGGTCACATGCAACCAAAAAATCAAACATAATTAAAACACAATTATCACTTCTTCATGACATATAATATGCATTGCTGATTATGAGAAAACAAATAAACAAAATTATAAGCGTATAATCGCAAATCAAAAGTGCAATATTTTGTACTTGGGTTTACCTCCCTCGAAACGAAGCAGCCGGGATACCAAACCCAGTCAGAGCGGGTGGGTGTGCACTCAAGTGTAACGGCTGGTTCATTAGCAGATGCCGTCTTCACGGCTCATTGTGTCTGCATATATAGAGATGTTGGGTTTTGTAAATACATGCTCAGTTTTTGTGTATAACATTTTGCAATCAACAGACATCATAACATGTCATGTGTTAAAGTATCACACCTGCCTGTCTGTGTAATTACATAATGTGACAGAGACCGAACTCGGGCCATAAATCAATGCGTTTTGTTTATGGTGTATAGCCTGATTGGTGTTAAGTTCAAATTGCATGTGGTCAGTGATCGCAGTTGTGTATTGAATATTGTCATTAGCAGACAGGCAGGCAGACACACAGGTGTCAATGAAACAAGACATTGAGTTTTGTCTGTGACAGCGACATATCTATATCACAGTTAGAAATTGTGTCAACGCTAAATAATGACATTGCTTTTAAGTATCGAACTGAGAAAGTGACTCGGTAAGAAGAACGTGTGGTGAAAAAGACAAATGAAATTATATAAACAGTTTATTTACTGTCATAACATATAAAAAGCTCGCGTCTGTGAGATATCAACAAAACATTATGAAAATAGCTCACACCAAAGCCTTCACCGAGTATTCACCAGACAGCCCACTTCCTAGTTAAGCGAACCTATTTCACTCGCGCACGTGCTATGAGCGCAGCCCAGCTGTTGAAACCCGTATTCCCCAGAAAAGTCTGGGGAAAATTAGTGAAACGTTTGAACTCCGATTTCGCGCGTTTTTTTTCATCGCGTTATTTTTCAACTTTATAAGTTGAATTTGCATTTTTGACGCTTTGTTTCGGTAAGTCCATACCGAAAGGTATCAGAATCTGTAAAGTTGTGTTTTACGTTGCATGTGACCTTTAACAATATGCAGCTATGCTCTGTATTTTTTTCATGTTCTCTGTTCAAGACTAACCCTTGATTCAGTACAACATTGGCACATTGTCCTGTCCCCTCTGATGGCTACTTTTGCCCTATCGGTGATCAGAATTATACATGGAGGTCAAAGGGTCCCTGTCATCATCCAAGGCTTTCAGACTGGTTTCTTTTCTGGGACAATCAACCCAAATGTCCTAAACATGTTTTTCAAATATTGTTTAGATATAGAAGAGTTAGTGAGTGAGTTTAGTTTTACGCCACACTCAGCAATATTCCAGCTATATGCCGGCGGTCTGTATATAATCCTGTCTGGACCACACAATCCAGTGATCAACAGCATGAGCATCGATCTACGCAATTGGGAACCGATGACATGTGTCAACCAAGATCAATATTCTAACCCGGACCTTCACGGGTTTAGATATAGAAGAATACCCTATCAACAAATGACAAAATCATGAAAATGTCCCAGTCCCAATGACTCCAGAAGAATCCTTGTACCCTAAATGTTATGTGACATAATGAGGGGCGGTGGGGTAGCCTAGTGGTTAAGGTTAAAGCGTTAGCTCATCACACCGAAAACCCGGGTTCGGTTCCCCACATAGATACAATGTGTGAAGCCCATTTGTGGTGTTCCCCGCCATGATGTCACTGGAATATTGTTAAAAGCTACATTCACTCACTCACTAATGTGACAAACCATGATATGTGGTGAACGTGTGTATGCCTCAGTTTGGTTTTACTTACATGGGTTGTTTATGCATGATGTTTAAGCTATATGTCATTGCATAAACTATATTGCCAATATTGTCAATACAATACCCAGTATATGTTGTCATGTTGCCCTTGGAGTGAACCTGTCTTTAGTTTTACCTTCTGCATGATGTGATAAAACAACGGCTTTGAACATGTACGTGACCCATACTTTTAGAGTGCAAAGACTGCTTCTTTGGTCAACTTTTAATCAAAGAGTAGTTTACTTTGATGATATATACTGCTAGTTGAGGATGCCACAATTCGTCTATATTACCCAGAGCTACAGATAACTTTTTTGGGTCATTGAGTTATGTACTCCCTTGTGTTCATCTCAATTGGGTATCCTAATTTTCCTTTGAGTAACGAAATAAATTGTACTCACCTCAATCAAACTCATTTGGGTATTTTGCCATTTTCCATTAATTTTAAAAATATAATATAGTTTAAATGTTAGTGTCTGTGATTTACCTTTGATCTGTAACATGAGAAACGATAAGAAAGACTGCAAGTTGTCAAGTTCATGTCCTAAAATAGAACATCTCAATATACGTCAGTTATTTAATCTATCCACCGGTACGAAGGCTACAATTGGACATTTTTGTGTGTACGCATGTAAGATCACATTTATTGAGTATTTACAAAACTTCAAGCGTACTTGTACGCAATAGACTTAATAGGAATTGGGTTTTCACATAAATGTTTGCGTAATTTACGCAGATACGCAGCTTATCTGTACCTCTGATTACCATAGTTATGTAAAAGAATTGGGTGGTCCTCAACCTTTTTTTAGTAGTATATATGACAAGGAAATGTAGGTTATGTCATTCTACCAAAGAAGAGTTTTAGGATCATGAGCGTATTGAACAGAAGCAGGACAAATATTTGGCTTTGTATGATCGCATAACTCGATAATCTGAGGAAATTGTTTGATGGTACAAACACAGCAGTATGACTGGCAGTATACCCAATACATATATGTCTTTGTGGTGTTTGTTTGTATGAGAACGTCCCTAGTATGGTGATCTACCTTCGGTTGTTGGTGACCTATAGCCTGTTTTCATATTGTCTTGTCTTCGTAAATAAAATAGTTCTAGATTTCCATGCTACTTTTAGACACCACCTGTGATACTGTAGTTATTTTACAGTCCTTCGATGACTGATTTTTTTAACAACTTTTATTAATTGTGTATGCAAAACCTTTCTCGTCACTATATGGCTGAAATATTGCCGATGTGACGTTAAATATTAACTCACTCACTCACTCTGTATGAGAACTAATGAAATTGTCTGTATTGTATCAGAAACACTTACATGATAATGTCTTTATTGTGTTTGTCTGTCTGTGTGAGAATTAACGGTTGTGTTTTGTTTCAGACCTCCGGGTTCAGCCAGCCCAGCATCTATCATGCTCTTGTTGTTATTTTCCTCGAGTTTTTCGCCTGGGGTCTGGTGACCAGTCCCATCATCTCAGTGAGTACTGTAGTTTCCAGATTTTCATTCCTGCATATTTTAGCCACAATTAGTTGATATCTTATTCTCATGATGAAATTTCAAGTGATACTGATGAAACATTATGAATAAGACAGAAAGTCGGCTGAAAAACAGAATCTGATACCTGTATCTCAAGAAACATGTTCCCATTAAAATTATCATTGCATTTCTTCACAAGACACGTAAGTCCCAAAACTTTCAAAGTAAATTTAAAATTACCATGATTTTTAAGCGTAATTTTAATTTTGGCTAAACTTTCCTACAATCGCAAGGGGTTGAAAAGATGGTGTAAATCCAGCTAGGGTCCATGCAGGTAGCAAAGGCACTGTAAGTACCCATGGTCCCTGGTATTGTGATCTACCTTCAGTTGTTGGTGACCTATAGCCTGTTTTTATACTGTATTGTCTTCAATAGTTAAACTGTTTTTGATTAAATTACTAGTTTTAAATTTGTATCTGTGATAATTTAGGTGTTTTATTGTCCTTTGTTGACAGGTGTATATAATTTACTTTTAATTATTATAAAACTATAACTTAATTTAGTCTCGATATGGCTGAAATAGGGGTGAAACGGTACACTCTTACCATGGTACGGTACGTATTGCGGTACAAGGCCTTTGATTCGGTCCGTTTCGGTTCGATATATCAGAACTTACTTCTGGGAAAATAGCTGCCGTCCAGCACAGAATTTCAATTTCTAGACATTATAAAGAAAGTATAAAAAGGTTCATAAAATGACGGTATGAAAACCGAAAATACTGCTTTCTTTTTACTGCATTATGGTATACCAAACCAAAGGCAAAATACTGCAGTTCTACTAATACCGCAGTATACCGTTTCACCCCTAGCCTGAAATATTGCCGATGTGACTTAGAATCATGACTCACTCACTCTGTGACTCTTCACAAAAAATTAAAGTCAATCCAGGGTTGAATGTATTTTGAAAGATCATTTGAGACTGTTCAATATTTTTTCAGCACACGTCTTGGGATACATTTTCCCTGATTCAAAAATACATATTTCAATTAGGTACTATATTTGGTTCAGTTCCAGAAAATATAAAACATGATTATGTGAGTTGTTGAAGAGGGTGTTGTCTGCTCAGTGTTCATGGAAGGTAAGACTACAGAATACCGGATACCTTCCACCATCTTTGAAAGCATGCGAGTTTACTTAGGGTCAGGGTAAGGGTTAGGGTTAGGGTGACATGACACTAAACAATATGGCTGGTAGGTATCCGGTATTCTGTAGGTGTACCATCATGGAATAACTTCTGTTGCTGGAACATATCAGGAAGCTTGTAGCTTGTATGAGAAAGTGACAATTTGTCAGACCAGCCAAGCTGATAGCTGTGGGGGTTAGTGAATCTTTAGGCTGCTGTTAGCAATATTCCAGCAATATTCCAGCAATATCATGGCAGAGGACACCAGAAAGAGGCTTCAAATATTGTACCAATGTGGGAATCACACCTTGGTCTTGAGCGTGATAGCAACAGCTTTAACCACTAGGCTACCCCACTGCCTGAACAACTATAAGACAATGTTTTTGACTCATGTGAAATATGCTACTCACACTTTGCTAAGGATCACAAAAATTCACAACTTTACGAAAACGTAGTTTTATAATTTGAAATTGTATCCATTTAAAACTAGATAAATAATAATATGTTAACCCCTCTTTAGGCAAACAGTCACTGACTTTAATCTAACCTCATGCACTTGATACATGAGTAACCATAAAAATGGTTTTCATGCACCAACCAACCAACCATTTTGCAAATCATGGAACGAGTCTGTGGCATATACACAACACCTGTCAGTAGCAGGTATGGGTTCCACAAGATGAAATGACATACTGAAACCTAGGATCCATGCTTACAATAAGCTTAGATATTTAAACGAAATTTGACCCAACATCATAGTTTTCTGTTGGAGCCATGATTTGATCCTTAGCAAAGTGTGAATAATATAGTTCACTATAAATGCGCAGCTTTCATTTCCTGTCCAGCTGTTTATGGTAATTATTTGTGTTGTTCCAGGTTCTCAATAAGACGTTCCCAGACCACACCTTCCTCATGAATGGTCTCATCCAAGGAGTGAAGGTAAGTCTACATCACACAGTCACTTATATCATATTAGGTACCATGGTTTACCAGAGGTATTGGCAGCAGGAGGTTTCAAATGTACCACAGCTATTGCTCTGACTTTCCAATATGATGCAGATCTTAGACTTTATCCTTTTACACTTATGTTACAAACCCTGTTAGCACAAGAAAGGTGCTGAGCAAGTCAAGGATCTCAGATGAAGTGAATTCTGAATGGTTTTACGTTGTTTGTGCATTTATTGAAGGATATCAGTGCCAAATTGTATTAAATGGCTGTAATCCTGTTAAAACAATCCTTATAATGATAAAACTAAGTTGGTTATATTAGGTACAGCATACTGTAGGAACTTAAATTTACACATGTGCATGAATATCGCTGCTTTTGCCAATTTACATTGGTGTAACTCCACCAGATGTTTACAATAGACAACTAGAAATCATTTCATCTTATTTATCAATTTAATTTATCGGATTACCTAACAGACAAAACAAACTGTGAAAATCAAAAACCTTTGGAATGAGATAGACTTGAGAGTATTTCCATGAATGACATTCTGCCGTTGATTGTCAAGTAATATTCTGTGTAAATCAATTTTTTGTAGAGGAATAACGTTTTGTTAGTTATGCATCTATGCACATTATGCATGCACATTATCAACTCAAAGTGTTGACTGTAGCCACATGTGACATATCTGCTTCTCATGTGTGTTCCAGAAAATGGAAAATTAATGATTATAATTTGTGGCTGTACCAGATGGTGGTTTGGGTACAAAGTTGAATACTGTGAAACTGTTATGCTGAAGGCAGTCATGAAAGTATTTCAAAACAGGTTGAAATAATTGGTGAGAGTCAGAAATGTTTTTCAGGCATTTTTTGAATATAGAGATTTAACAGTAATTTGGCAAAATGTGACATGGAAAAAGTCAATTTTTGGGCCAAAGTCAAAATCTTGAATCTGAATCATGCCTGATCAGTTTTGGGCCAAAGTCAAAATCAGTTGTAATTGAATCTGAATCATGCGTGATGTCAGTCATTATGTGTCGGTCATGATTTAACTATACCGGTTCACTTATTTGCCTGATCAGTCATGACTTTGTGAAGTGACTCCCTCTGGATAGTGATTAACATGACGTTGCTGTTGCAGGGGATGTTGTCATTTCTGAGTGCACCTCTGATTGGTGCACTTTCTGATGTGTGGGGCAGGAAGCCGTTCCTGGTCTTCACTGTTGCCTTTACGTGTGCCCCCATACCTCTCATGAGACTCAGTCCCTGGTCAGTATAACCCTATAGACTTTACATGTGCCCCCATACCTCTCATGAGACTCAGTCCCTGGTCAGTATAACCCTATAGACTTTACATGTGCCCCCATACCTCTCATGAGACTCAGTCCCTGGTCAGTATAACCCTATAGACTTTACATGTGCCCCCTTACCTCTCATGAGACTCAGTCCCTGGTCATGTATATACCTCTCATGAGAATCAGTCCCTTCAGATATTTTACATGTGCCCCCATACCTCCCTCATGAGAATCAGACCCTGGTCAGTATATCACCAGTATACATTACATGTGTGTCCCCTTACCTCTCATGAGAATCAGTCCCTTGTCAGTGTATCACCACAGACTTTAACACATGTGCCCCCATACCTCTCATGAGAATCAGTCCCTTGTCAGTCATTAACCCTATAGACTTTACATGTGTCCCCTTACCTCTCTCATGTATATCACTATCCTCCGTCCCTGGTCAGTATAACATAGACTTTACACATGTGTCCCCCTTGACAGTACCTCTCATGAGAATCAGTCCCTTGTCAGTGTACATCACCACCTCTCATGAGAATCTTTACAGTGTATCACCACAGACTTTACATGTACCCCCATACCTCTCATGAGAATCAGACCCTGGTCAGTATATCACCGTATACATTACATGTGTCCCCTTACCTCTCATGAGAATCAGTCCCTTGTCAGTGTATCACCACAGACTTTACATGTACCCCCATACCTATCATGAGAATCAGACCCTGGTCAGTATATCACCGTATACATTACATGTGTCCCCTTACCTCTCATGAGAATCAGTCCCTTGTCAGTGTATCACCACAGACTTTACATGTACCCCCATACCTATCATGAGAATCAGTCCCTGGTCAGTATATTACCAGTGACTTTACATGTACCCCCATACCTCTCATGACAATCAGTCAGTGGTCAGTGTATCACCGTAGACGCTACATGTGCCCCCATACCTCTCAAAGAAATCCACCGCCTCCGCCCGGAGAGCGGAAGGTCGCGGGTTCGATCCCCATCCGCGTCATACCAAAAGACGTTAAAATATGGTACTTGTTGGTCCCTGCCTGGCGCTCGGCATTAATGGGTACAACAAGGACTGGTCGCCTCGGAGTCAGTATAATGTTGTCTGAGTGGGGTATTCATGCTTCACTGCGGCGTGGTATCTCAGTGGGCTAGCACTATAAAACCAGCTTAAATCTGGGCTAGTACAAGCAGCCGCACATACACATACATACGCATGCATGTCGTCATATGAGCGAAATATTCTTAATCACGATGTTAAACCCAATTTCACCTCACCTCAAAGAGATCCAATCAGTGCTTTATACCCCCCAATTGAAAAATGGCTGTACATTGTCATGGTACTGACTGCATGTGTTGTGTGTTTCAGGTGGTATTTTGCCATGATATCTATATCTGGCGTGTTTGCTGTAACATTCAGTGTGGTATTTGCCTATGTGGCCGACGTCACCTCGGAGGAGGAGAGGAGTGCAGCTTATGGTTTGGTGAGAGCCTGTTATTATCCTCCTCCTTAAAACATGAACCTGCTGTCCCTGTTGTATCTTGCAGGGTTTTTAACTGGAAGTATTTAAGATATTAGGACACATAGCATCCCATGTTACTGGCAAACAAGGATAAGTTGAGCACCGACCTGACAATTGACCCATATTAGCATGTATGAGTGCCGCCCACTGCCCCTTGCCATTATTAGCGAAGGGGCCCAGGTTGTCCGCGATCAAGTGTAGTGTGACTTGCTACACCAACATGAGAGTCTTATGAGCAAGGTGTGTGCAGCTACACGCGGAACCAATTTCATTGTCATGTAATGCACGTGCACTAGCCTACATCTGCTCTACCTTTCACAAACCAGTCCAACTTATCCTTGTTTGCCAGTAGTTCTGTAAGCCCTATAACATGGGGATTATTGTTAGAGTGTTTTGCCAGGGCTGATAGTATTTGAACACACTCTGAATGCATTGCTGTATCTGCTAGAAACCTTAGGAAGTGGTTGACCCATACATGCTGCAAAGTTGGCCGTCATATTAGACATAATGGATGAACCTGTTTCTGGCGTCGCCATAATAATGCCGGAATCATAGGCTCACTCACTCACTCGCTGCTTTTCAATGTTTGTTAGCTTTCCTATTGAATACGAAAAGCCAAATTTATGGATGTAAACTTCTTTATTGTGAATAACACGACGTTTCGAAGTGTATGCTTGCAATCCTGAAGGAGGAAGCATACGCTCCAAAACGTCATCTTATTCACAATAAAGAAGTTGATATCCATAAATCTTGCTTTTCTTTTGCATTCCTCTTCGTAATGCCCTTCGAAGATTTCCTACTGAATGTTGTATTGACAGTGTATTTCTATTCCTGTGAAGGTCTCGGCAACATTTGCTGCCAGTTTGGTGACGAGTCCTGCAATTGGCGCCTACCTTGGCAGCATGTACAGTGAGTCGCTAGTCATCTGGATAGCGTCTGCTGTGGCCCTGTTGGACGTGCTGTTCATCATGGTGGCTGTGCCGGAGTCTCTGCCGGAGAAGCTCCGCCCAGCCAGCTGGGGGTCACAGATTTCATGGGACAAGGCGGACCCTTTTGGGGTAAGGATGTCATTGTATTGGCGGTACAGACTGTCAACTGCTACTGTGGTACATTTAGATGTAGAATTTGTCACCAGTGCTTGGGCTGAAACAATTCATGGAATGTTCGGTCCAGTATGCAGCGATATGATATTGTCTTGATGTAATTGTATATAAGGGTAACTTGTAAAGTGGTATGAACATGAATTGTTAAATACTACATACCATTTTCTGGTTAGATGTACCAATGATTTCATGTTCCATGTGTGAATTGTAAATCTACTAAATATGGACTAATACTGGTTTCCTTTGAATTTGAACATGTTCAGTGAACTGCTTTCATCTTTGATGTGGCAGATTCTTCTTGTAAGGACTACTATTGTCTTGTTTGTTGTTTCAGTCTCTACGCAAGGTCGGGCAAGACAATCTGATCATGCTGCTGTGTGTGACAGTCTTCTTGTCCTATCTTCCAGAGGCTGGAGAGTACTCTTGCTTCTTTGTTTATCTTAGGAATGTAAGTCCTTTGTAGCTAATGCACAATATGTCCGTTGGTACAATATGTCCTCAGTGAGTCTGTTTCCCAGTCCCGGAACTGTCTTTCCAGTAATTGCTGATAATAGTAATGGTAGTCCATTTATCATGCACATTGCTCAATGCACAATGCATGCTCGAAGCGCCCATTATTATTACCCTGGATAACCCAAGCTGTTTAGGGCTAGAGGGTTATAGTCGCATGACTTCATCCCACCAGGTACCCATTTTCTGCTGGGTGAACAGAGGCAATTTTGAACAAACTCACTTGCTTAAGATGAGACCACATGCATCACATGTGCTTTGTTCTAGGGCAGGACTGAAGTCCTAGAAACTCTCAGGTGTCAAGCTGCAAAACACAGCCACCCATTCAAGGACTCTCCACGCCCAATGTTGCTTAACTTCAATTGATTTGTGACCTGAGCTCTATGCACAGGACCACGAGTGAAGCCCATTTCTGTGCCACCACGCTCTAAATTGAGCAAGTCTAGATTTTCCACATAGTATATTTTCAGAGACTCTATGTTTGTCTCATCTTGAGCCTGTGATTTCAGTCAGTAAAACAGGGCCTGAATCTTTCTTTTGGTCTAGTTTGCTCCGTTGGTAATAATCCATGTGTTAAAGTTCTACTTAAAATGATCAAATAGACATGCATGATAGTTAGCAAGATGTGTCAATATAAAACAGAGCATTCATGTTACGAGGACTGGAAATAATATTGGTCAAAGGGAAATAACTCATAAGCATTTAACTGTTGCTTGATTTGAAATTATTTAGTTGCAAAATGTAATTTCACTTTAGGATTTACAACTAGAAATAACTAACATATGTTATATTTGGGATTATATAGAAATAACTGCCTGTGAAACCCATTTCTAGTGTTCCTTGTTATGATATTGCTGGAATATTGCTAAAAGGGATACAAAACCCAACTCACTCACTCTGTTCACTCAAGAGTAGAAGGTGAATGTGAGACCTGAAACCTGTACTGCCTGAAATGCAGCTTGGGTGGGTCTGCCAACTGAGCTGAGAAGCAATCTGGGGGCATACTGATCCTTTAAACAGGGTAGTCATGTTACTCAATGGGCAGCAACAAAAAAGAAATGTATTGTAATTCTTTGGCATCAAAGCTTTAGATTAAAGAACCTTACAATGATTTACTGTTTTCCAGATAATGGGCTTTTCTGTGGAGGAAACTGCCTCGTTTATAGCAGTAGTGGGAGTGTTGTCTGTTCTAGCACAGGTAAGTGGGAGACACATGGTGTAGTGTACACCTGGTGGTCTACAGGTTCCTGTACTGGATGCCAAACAGTTAGCGCCATATTTTAGTGTTATTTCCAAAATTACTCCGCCGTTCGTTAAATAATGAAACAGAATTAATTATGATACTTAATTAGCTATTCACCAATGTGTCCAGCCCATTCACTGCCATCGATAGTGTTTTTTATATAACGCGGCGGAAGGGAATCATGACAGTATAAATAGTTGTTTTCTTACAATTAACTGTAACAGTTATCGCCATTTCAGAATTTCTCATGTCATTCGTGAAATAATATATATTTATATCATAAAGTAACCTCGAATAATTGATTGTGTGACTAGTTGAGTGTGTTTTGACAGTAGATTGATAGGGAATGAAACAGTTAATGACTATTGTGAACTTGAACTTGCTATTATATAGATCATGTGACATCCCCCCACTAAGTTAAAAAAAAGTAAAGGGTTCGTAACCTTATCTTTAATTTTTCTCTTATGTTACTCACTGTGAAGAATTTTCTTTTGCTGTCCTTTGCTGTTGTCAAATACCATGGGGAGAAATACCGGAATTGTAATTGACCGGAACTGCTCACACGTGACACTGGTGTATTGGTGATGACTGTTCAGCAACCAGTACAAGTGTATACACTTAGTAGCAGCAGATGTTTCTGATGCTGTTAGAATTACTACTTTGTAATTTCTAATGCAGTAAACCAGGTTATACATTTTCAACATGCCATGAAACCATTGAAATTATGGTGACCAATCAAGGTATACTCTAGTCTTATGAAGAACACTTGACTTTTTCCATATGTATGTAGTTAATGTGTCATGATGTAACAAACTGAGTGATCTTCAATATGTTTCAGTAGTACTTATTAGTGGTGTTCTGATTAATTGAAATAATCGAAGATTGGTCGAAGTGACCAAACGACCAAGCAATCGATCACATTTTCTCATAATCGAACACAAACGATTTTGGAACTGCTGTTTTAGTGTTTGAAACACTTGACGATGGAACATATCTTCGCAGTTGTCAGGGCCTGAAAACTTGTTTAATTCTTAGAAAACTCACTTCACCAACTGAAAAGTCATGACTGAATATTTCTTGAAGACTCCAGAAAGTTTATGTTCATGATATATTACTCATCACTTTAAAGTAGCAAGTTGCATCATGTTATACATATCTACAATAACAACTTTGGTAGGAAAATCTGAAAAATGACGCTAACCAATTTTTTTCGATGATTGATCGTTGGTAATGAAGCAGTCATCAATTGTGAGATTTCAACCAATACCCAACACTAGTACTTATCATGCTGTCCATAGTTAGAAGTAAGTATAGCAAGTTGTTTGGTCATGGAGACTGCTCTGAAGTTTCATTTTGCCAAACAATTGAAGCTTTTACAGTGACTGTTCAAATTCCATTTTCAGGTGTACATTATTTTCAGTGTTATTCAATTATGATTATTTTCTTTTCAGACTCTTATACTTGCTTTAATAATGAAATATCTAGGACCAAAGCAGGCTATTCTATTCGGCCTTGTGTTTGAAGTAATCCAGCTAACTTGTTATGGCTTTGGATCACAAACATGGTAAGTGTAAAATTACTTTATACTTACTTTGAAATAACATACTGGTACTTACACAAATACTTCAGTTTCATCATGTTCATCCCTGACTACTGTGAAATAGTATATATATTTGAATGTATACAACAAAGTTGATAATTATCCAGCCATTATTTAATTTGTTTGTATATCCTTGTAGCCAGGGTTTTAAATTCTATTTTATTAAAACATTCTTAGGAATCAAATGTAAGGTCATTGTATGAGTTATTGTCCAACCTTCCTTGTTTTCAGTCAATGTATGCAAGTGTTGATCATTGCTCAGCTGTTGTTTAGTCTAGATGTCATTATATCCCTTTACCAACAGTTTGGTCACATTTGAATGACAAAAAACAGAATTATGTTGTAAACATTCTCTCTGGATCATGGTTGCCTTTTATCTGTGGGTACCACTGAGACACACAGAAAAGGGAAAGAAATTTTAAACTAAGTCATAGTTATCCCTAGTGGTATTCCTGTGTAGACAAGTGATTATCTCCCCTTGCTGTGAAGTCACAGCGTGACTGTTTGAAAACCTAGTAATGTTTCTGTATGTCAAAAAAACCCCAGTATTCACTGTCCGTTATTCACGTCCATTTTGTAAGAAACAGCATGGTCTCAACAGAACATAGGTGTTACATTGTGAGATAGAGATTCTAATGGTTGTGTTCCAGGGTGATGTGGTGTGCTGGTGGTGTGGCCGCGATGTCCAGTATAACTTACCCTGCCATTAGCTCCTTTGTCTCAGCTCATGCAAGTGCTGATCAGCAGGGTAAGAGTTACCTCCCTTCAAAGTAACACTTGGGATTTCATTCACACTTAAGACCCCCTGGGAGGAAGTTTATCATTATTTTAAATAAATGTGATGATTTTATTACCTCCCTTGGCTGGCTTTTTATCCAATCAGGTGTCTACACCGGGAAGTTGAACATACCAATCACAACTCGCTTTCGCTTCTTAAATTATCGAACAGATTAAACATGGCAACACAACTGATGCAGAGGTACTCTGAACGAGGTAGAAGAAGTTCTTGCATATATTTTTTTAAGGTTTCAGTTCGTCACGATATGGCTGAGATATTGCTGATGTGATGTTAAATATTAACTCACTAAAAGTTTCAGACCTGTCAATTTGTCTGTATGATTTGCCCCCAAATCTGAGTCACACTGTGTCTTTGTTGACACTGGCAAGCTCGGTTGTAATGGTGGCTTAGCTGATTGGCTACTGTGAGAATGCGGAGCCAGCAAAGGAAGGTAATAAAATTATAGGGCTGAGCCATAGCTGCATCCAGTGTATAGTGGAGATTTATCGTAACGTAAAGTGTAGCTGAATCTGTGAAAGGTGGTGTTGATTTCAAAGTTTTCACTGTTTTAGCGTGGTGTTTCCAATGTTTTGACTGTTGTATGCAGGTGTCGCTCAAGGGATCGTCACAGGTATCCGAGGCCTGTGTAACGGACTGGGGCCTGCAGTGTTTGGCTTCATCTTCTATCTCTTCCATGTGGACATCTCAGCCAATGGGAGCGAGCCGCAGGGCCACAAACACCCCAAGACATCTAACAGCACTTTTAATCCCCTTCCGAAAAATTTCCAGGTGAGATTAATGTATTTTACATGGGTAGCATCTTTAAAAATGATGATCATAGTTTTTGATCTACACAGTATTTGTGTTACAGAAAACTTGCACACATTTTACAGGTAAAACAAGGTAACATTTTAAGTTTGATTTTAAGTTTAATTAATTTAATTGCAATGAAAGTAATATTTGTTATCCCATTGTAATGCTGGGATATAGTCGCCGCTGATCATCTTGAGTAATGGCTGGCCTTGGATATCAAACATGTATGGTCTTTTGCTATTTACAGATAAATGATTCAGACTTAGTCTCAAAAGGAAGGGGTGGGTTTCGTTTTCGAGCATAACTCAAGAACCATTCAATATTTTTCAGCAAAACTTGGTAGATATATGAAACAGAACCTTGAGTGGTGCCTTTTGGTGTTTGCATATTTTTGTCATTTTTATTTTTCCCGGTTTCCATGGAAACATTTTGGACTTAGTCTAAAAAAGTAAGGATTGCTTTCGTTTCCGGAGCACAACTCAAAAATCGTATAATATTTTTCAACAAAACTTGGTAGATATATCAAACACATCCTAAAGTTGTGCCTTTTGCTATTTGCAGATTTTTGGCATTTTTATTTTTCCCGGTTTCCATGGAAACGATTCGGACTTAGTCCCAAAAGTGAGGGGTGGGCTTCGTTTCCGGAGCATAACTGGAAAACTTCTCAATGTCTTTCAGCAAAACTTGGCAGATATGTGAGGCAGATACCAAAGTGGTGCCTTTTGCTATTTGCAGATATTTGTGATTTATTATTTTTTTGGTTTCCATGGAAATGATTCAGACTTAGTCTCAAAAGGAAGGGGTGGGTTTCGTTTCCGGAGCATAACTCAAGAACCATTCAATATTTTTCAACAAGACTTGGTAGATATATCAAACAGAACCTTAAGTGGTGCCTTTTGCTATTTACAGATTTTTAGATTTTTTATCCCACCGCATATAATGCGGTGGGATATAGTCGTCGCCTCTCGTCCGGTCTGTCCGTCCGTCCGTCCGTAATCATTTTGTTTCCCGACCATAACTCAAAGACCGTTCGATATTTTTAACCAAAATTGGTAGATATGTCAAAAATAACCTAAGGTGGTGCCTTTGCTATTTACAGATAATTGTCATTTTTATTTTTCTCGGTTTCCATGGAAACGCTTTTGGACTTAGTCTTAAAGAAGGGTGGGCTTCGCTTCGAGCATAACTCAAGAACCGCTCAATATTTTTTCAACAAAACTTTGTAGATATATCAAACAGATCCTAAAGTGGTGCCTTTGCATTTCACAGATTTTTGGCATTTTATTTTTCCCGTTTCCATGGAAACGATTTGGACTTAGTCCCAAAAGTGAGGGGTGGGCTTCGTTTCCGGAGCATAACTCAAGAACCGTTCAATATTTTTCAACAAAACTTGGTAGATGTATGAAACACATCCTAAAGTTGTGCCTTTTGCTATTTGCCGATTTTTGGCATTTTTATTTTTCCCGGTTTCCATGGAAACAATTCGGACTTAGTCCCAAAAGTGAGGGGTGGGCTTCGTTTCCAGAGCATAACTCAAGAACCGCTCAATATTTTCAACAAGACTTGGTAGATATATCAAACAGAACCTTAAGTGGTGCCTTTTGCTATTTGCAGATTTTGTCATTTTATTTTTCCGGTTTCCATGGAAAACGATTCGACTTAGTCCCAAAAGTGAGGGGTGGGCTTCTCGCTTCGAGCATAACTCAAGAACCGCTCAATATTTTTTCAACAAAACTTGGTAGATGTATGAAACAGAACCTTAAGTGGTGTCTTTTGCTATTTGCCGATTTTTGGCATTTTTATTTTTACCGGTTTCCATGGAAACGATTTGGACTTAGTCCCAAAAGTGAGGGGTGGGCTTCGTTTCCGGAGCAATAACTCAAAACCTCTCTATATCTTTCAGCAAAACTTGGCAGATATGTGAGGCAGATATTGAAGTGATGCCTTTTGCTATTTGCAGATATTTGTGATTTATTATTTTCTTGGTTTCCATGGAAATGATTCAACTTAGTCTCAAAAAGGAAGGGATGGGTTTTGTTTCCAGAGCACAACGCGAAAACTTCTTAATATCTTTCAGCAAAACTTGGCAGATATGTGAGGCAGATCCCAAAGTGGTGCCTTTTGCTATTTGCAGATTTTTGTCATTTATTTTTTTCATGATTTCCATGGAAACGATTTGCACTTAGTCTAAAATCAAGCTGGACTTTAAGTAACTGTCAGATGATTTGTTCTTTCAAAGATGTGGGGGCCGGGGGGATATGTCATCTTCTGATGACTCTTGTTACTTTTCCCGGTTTCCATGGAAAAGATTCGGACTTAGTTGCAAAAGTGAGGGGTGGGCTTCGTTTCCGGAGCATAACTGGAAAACTTCTCAATGTCTTTCAGCAAAACTTGGCAGATATGTGAGAACCGTCCAATATTTTTCAACAAAACTTGGTAGATGTATGAAACAGAACCTTAAGTGGTGCCTTTTGCTATTTTTGTCATTTTTATTTTTCCCGGTTTCCATGGAAACATTTTGGACTTAGTCTCAAAAAGTAAAGATTGCTTTCATTTCCGGAGCACAACTCAAAAATCGTATAATATTTTTCAACAAAACTTGGTAGATATATCAAACACATCCTAAAGTTGTGCCTTTTGCTATTTGCAGATTTTTGTCATTTATTTTTTTCATGATTTCCATGGAAATAATTTGCACTTAGTCTAAAATCAAGCTGGACTTTAAGTCACTGTCAGATGATTTGTTCTTTCAAAGATGTGGAGGCCGGGGGGATATTTCATCTTCTGATGACTCTTGTCTTGACTTAGTAGTCATCTCATGGTGATTACACATCAGGATAGGACCTTGGTGCTGAATGCCTGTTGTGAAATGGACTACAGTGGGAAGCATCTGGCTACAATGTTGGACCAGGATGATTGTGTCAGCATACCCGCTCTGTGGATCGCTGCTCATATTATAGGAGTGTTTGTAGGTAGTCATTAAAAAGCTGAAATATTGCTTTGTGTTTACAACAACATTCATTAATATACTGTTGATTTTGATTTAGCTTATTGATGCTGATCAAACTGTATCTCAAATAACAGCCTGCTTGCTGTCTCCAATATTTAGGTTGTTTTTTTTATCCCTCACAACATGTTTTGTGGGGGTGGAGGGGTGTGTGTGTGTGTGTGTGTGTTTTAAAATGCACTCCTGTCCGTCGTTCGTGCACATTTGTCTTTTCCGGAGCAAAACTCTAAAACCGTTCATTATTTCTTCACCAAACTTGGCTTATAGATACATCTGGTGGTGTACTGGTGCCTTTCAGTGGTTTTGGATTTCTGAATATAATATTTTTGGCGTTTCCATGGCAACAAGTTTGACTTAGACTGAAATTGGTGGTAGTACTCTTTTCCGGAGCAGATCTCTAAAACTGTTTAATGTTTCTTCACCACACTTGGCACATAGAAAGATCTGGTGGTGAACTGGTGCCTTTTGGTAGTTTGGGATTTTGAATAAAATAATTATTTTTGTGTTTCCAAGGCAACAATTTTGGCTTCAACTGAATTTGGTGGTAGTGCTCCTTTCTGGAGCAGAACTTTGAAACCTTTCAGTTCTCTCCTTCCAGTTAGTTATATACATGCCAAAACATTTGACATAGTAACTCGTAGGCATGGGTGGTTTTTTTTCCTCTCTCTCTTTCTCTCTCTCTCTCTCTCACTCTCTCTCTCTCTCTGTGTGTGTGTGTGTGTGTGTGTGTGAGAGAAATCTTACACTCCCTTACATCTGAGCAGGAGCTACCACTGTGATTAAACAGCTGTAACTATTAAAGGCACAGGGTTAAGTACATCTGAGAAAAATGATTATCAACTGTGGCTTGCAAGTGTCAAGATTGTTTGGAGAAAGTGTATTTCAGACACTGGTGTGTATTGTTTCAGAATGTAGTGCCAGGTCCACCATTTGCATTTGGGGCTGTGTTGGTGATCTTGGCGTTGCTAGTTGCAGTCTTTCTCCCAGACAACCCTCATGGTAATGTCAACAAGTCCTCAGCCAAGAAGGTCCTGCCGGTGTATGACTATCAGAAGGAAACAGGTATGTACAGTGTATGAATAAATTTTGAAAAGTCACTTTCCAGGAGGGCTAGTTAAATAAAAATGTTGCTAGCCCACATCCTAATTCACTGGCCCTGCAAAATATCAGTATCAAAATGCAGAACAAAAACTAAGATTTTCACAAAACCTTTGCGCTAACAGACTTTGCCACCTTAATAACTGACTTCATCATATTCATGTGCATTAAATAAAGAACAAATCATCTGAGATTTTCAGCTAGCCATTCGGGATAGGTTTAGCAATATATTACTATTTCGAACACTGGGTATGTGGCTCTAAGATACAGGTGTTTGTACACATGAATCTGAGTCAGTAAACAGGTGTTTGTAAACATGAATCTGAGTCAGTAAACAGGTCTTTGTAAACATGAATCTGAGTCAGTAAACAGGTCTTCTTTAACATGAATCTGAGTCAGTAAACAGGTCTTTGTAAACATGAATCTGAGTCAGTAAACAGGTCTTTGTAAACATGAATCTGAGTCAGTAAACAGGTCTTTGTAAACATGAATCTGAGTCAGTAAACAGGTCTTTGTAAATATGAATCTGAGCCAGTAAACAGGTCTTCGTGAACATGAATCTGAGTCAGTAAGCAAATCTGTTTTGCACTTTCCTTATATGCTTAAATTAACTCTTAATGACTTCATTACTACATGCTAATTGTGGTTTTTTTAAACGGCTTACTGTGTGTTTCACATTGCTGGACACATTGCGAGGGAGGAGTACAAAGAGAGGAACAGCCAGTTGTAGTGAAGCATGTGCACAAGTGCCGACACAGTTATGGATTCATTTACCTGTGCTGTGCCGTCTCCATCCTTTCTCGCACACCTGGCCATTCCTCTTTGCATTCCTCCCTCATAACAAATAGTGAACTGTGTAAATATTTTAATAATAGATTGTTAAACAACTTTGTTATTTTTAGGACAAAAATTCTGCAAAAAAGATCACAGAGTTGGTCTGATGTTTTGATTATGGTCAGCGATTCAATGAGTTTTGTATGCTTATTAGTTTTTGAGTGAGATTGCAATTCATCAGTCCGCTTTTACGCCAAACAGACTATAGTACATCTCCTGTTCATAAATTCTGCTACCTGCTTCCAGAAACTATTGACATTCATAAAAAAACACGATGAATACAGTAAATTGTGTGACTTTCAATATAAATTTTTGCAAAGAGCAATATACACAAGTAAAGAACTAAAGAAGTAAAATGATATCAACACTCAAAAATGCATGCTGTTTTTGTGAAGTAGCAAATGAAATTTTTGGTACAAGGTTCTTGTTTGAGTATATATAAGTTTCCATTTCAAAACAGAATGAAACTCATTGTTCCATTTTAGACAAGAATGAAGTGGATTCAGTCGGAGTGTTTTTGTCAAGGTTGTCGTAGTATATTCTACATCCTTTAGAGTCAGAGAGCAGGTCCATTTAAGGTTCAGATAAGCTTAGGTTATAGAATATGTGTTGTTATTTTTAGTTTCCACTCTCCATTCCGCAGGAAGATTATTGATTAAACTTTCCAAATCAAGAAATGTGCCTTTAATGTTGTAGGTCTTTTTAATGATATCAAATGAAAGAAAGCCTTCATTACCACATACATCCTTTATAGCTGTGATTCCTTGTTTAAACCAGCTTTTTATATTAATAGGGATTTGTGCCTACGTTAAGCAGATCTGCCTTGTCATAACTGGAATAATGTTCCAGAGGCATTAAACCCAACTCACCCACAACTAATGATGTATTGTATAGCGCTACAAACCTTATTATTTACAATAATAGTCATCAGACATGTGACCTGACTGTCTTCACTATTGCAGGAGTGAAGAAGCATGAAGAAGAGCCCCTGATGGAAGAGCCAGAGGCTGACTTATAGCAGTAGTCTCCCCTAGGTTATTAACAGGTCAAGGTCATATTCTACATATACAAACTTCACAAGAAAAAGGATCATTTACACCAAATGTTTCATGAAAAGGAAGAGAACTTTCTTCTTCAAGGGATACACAGGGTTCCATGAAGAGTATTCCACAGGGATACACAGGGTTCCATGAAGAGAGTATTGCCCGTGTTTGGAAAGATAGAGTTATCTCCCTTCTTGTCATGCTTTTGTAAGGAAATGAAAAGCACACTGTTTGCAATGTGTTCCGACTTTCTGTGCTTGATGGCAAGAATTGGTATTTCACTCTGACTCTGTGGCACGTAGTTCCAAGACTTGTATGGTCCCTGTCATAGAATTAAATCCCAGTCTGTGATTAAGTGTTTCACATGGTCTGCTTGTTGTCAATGTTCATCATCCAACTGTTTGTGTTGTCATCAACAAAATATCTCAGTATTATCATCCAGAGATACAACATCAACAGTTCAGTTACGTTTAAGGATCGTTTCCACGCAGATAGGGGTCTCTTTGCTCAATATCGTAGCTGTAATGCCACTGATCTTTTCTTCAAATCCGTCATTTTATGATCGAATATGATTAGAGTATGAACTCTTATTGATTGTTGATAATCTACGTCACTCATGAGGTGTGTTTTGTACAGTTTGAGAATATAGATATTTTATGCCAGAGCCCTATATTTTAGAATATATTGAACCAGTAGATTTGAATTTAGGAGTTTGGTTTTGTTTTTGCCAAATGGCTGACAATCTTTTGCATGTTTTGAATAGAAGATATGAGAGTATCTTGTATTCTGCCAAATTAACTGTTTGCCAAACACAGAAGAAATGGTGCCCCTGTCTGTCTGTGTGAAGTAGTGAGACACAAATTTGTGTTCGTGTATTTCTTCTTCTTTTTGAGACAAGGGAGGGTAAATGTCTGAGACAGAGATGAGGGTAGATTTGTATATTTCTATCAAAACAAGTGCAACATGAAATGGAAAGATGGCGATTTTGACTGACATTCAAATTCTTCTCCTGAAATGAAACATTTCATAAATAGTAAGAAAAAATACAAGCACTGTTCCTCTTAAATTACTAATTTAAAACTATAAAACTATCTTTATCAACTTTCCATTCTTAAATTTGTATACTCAAGTATTTAGTGGTAAACAGTTAACGGATGGCACTCCATGCCTTAGCAGATGGAATATCTATTACAGGACATTCTCCAGCACACATATTTAAAGCAAGTCTAAAGATTAGCAGTAAACAAGAGAACAACAGTTAACATGTTATGAAGTATGTACCTGTATTAGATGCGCATTCTGCCCCTGGTACAGTACAGGAAGTGTATGACCCAATAAGATTTATGGATGACAGCTATTAGAAATATTCAGGTGGCATTGTTGTTGTGTGGTTGATGTGTCGTGCTTCGTTATGACCTTTGACCTCAGATATGTGTATAAACTAAACAGGTGTGGGAATGGAAGATTACACGATTGTGTTTGTTTAATTTTCTCAACATGTTTTGTAAATATGCGCAAGGAATCTGAATGATTTTCTTGTTTTCATGTATTTTGTGGTCCATGTCTTGTGTTAAATATTAATATACTGATTTGCTGTGTCCCATGTTCCTGGGAACTATAGTTTCCTCGATGATATTTGCATGACTGTAGTTTTTTGTATTGCTGAAAGTTAGTTACAAATATTCACCTTGTTATTGAATGCTATATTTTTTTGCAGACATTTATTTGGATGTGAAGTTGTATTCTTGTTTTACAGACAGTATTAACAAAAGGTTAAGTGAAGTAAATCTAAATGTATACACCTAGTAATACTGTCAAGAAGATTTGAAACAGCATTTATTATGAATTGTTATTGTTCTGCAACATTAAATGTCTTCAATACTATTCAAAGCAATGTAAAACTCAACTCATCTGTCATCTTTTGTGAATATCATTTTTAGGGTACCTGAAAGGTAATATTGTATGAGAAACAATGTTGAGAAGTGTTTTCTTGTCTCCACATCAACTTCCTCTTTTCATGGAGGGCGGTGGGGTAGCCTAGTGGTTAAAGTGTTGGCTCGTCACACCGAAGACCCGGGTTCGAATTCCCACATGGGTACAATGTGTGAAGCCCATTTCTGGTGTCCCCCGCCGTGATGTTGCTGGAATATTGCTAAAAGCGGAGTAAAACCAAACTCAGTCAGTCAGTCTTTTCATGGATACTTTATGGAAACAACTGTATTTGCTTGGTTTGGTGCCCTGCTCCAATAAGCAGCTCTAAGCAATATCTTACCAGTCTGATCTTTATATTCAGCCATTACTAAGACAAAAGATATTCAAGGCAGTCCATATTTACTTGCTTGGTTTTTATTTTTCAATTTAATTACAAAAAAGACATTGCTGAAGGTATATATAGTTGTAGGTTTTAAAGAAATTCTTTTAGAAACATTGACATTTTAACGAAGCATGATCACAGCCATTTGATCTTTGAAAACAAATTAAACTTTCTGTGAATGGCTTCAGTGCTGCAATTTTCTATAACAGCGAATACAGTATTTGTTGTCCAGCTGAATGTGTCCAGTCATAACTACTGGTGTGTAATTCACGTCAGATTTAGCTACCTTGCCTCCTCACTAAAGATATTACAGTTTGGAAGAATTGACCTGTGATGTTGCTTGGGTACATGATTTGTCAGGATTAGGGATGTCTATATGAGAATACAGCTTCATCATCTTTGTGTAGTAGGGTTGCCATACCTTTCAGGTAACTGAAATTTCTGATTAGCTTTGTTCATTATAATTATATTTCATAGAAAGTGTAGTTTAAGTCAAACATATCTCATGAAAAATTGTTTTTATTTAATATTTATTTCATTTTTTTAATAGTATCATATGTTTGAGAATGGAAGATTTAAGTTTTATGTATGTTATTTCCTGTGTGTATTACTTGTGAAAAACAAGAAAATTAGTGAGGAATTACTTTGTCTTAGACGCTTGGTAGGTTTAAGCTATTATTGTAAAGATTGTAATGGTTTTGTTCCTCCTGTGTGTGAGTTTGGCACGGAATTTGCTGATGTGGTATATTGCACTCTCACTGTATGTATAGGTGATAACTCTCTCAGTGTACAGGTGATAAGTCTCTCAGTGTACAGGTGATAAGTCTCTCAGTGTACAGGTGTAACAGCTTCAGTTAGGCCTAGATAAGCTGGTGACACCCAACATATTTTTGCTGTCTGTGATTTTGATTGGCTTTGTCTTCCAATTATGGCTACCAATGAATCAAGTGCAATGCTCAGATTGTTTTGTTTTGAACATCATCCAACATAGCTTGTAGATTGATATGTTTTCAAGAATTGTCAGCACACTCAGCATCCTTATGATTTTAGATGAGATCATTTTCAGAGACAAAATAGAATTGTATTCTTCATTGATTCATGAAGGATGTGAGGAAGTTGTCCCAATGTCAGTTCAGAGTGAATGGGGCCTTTGTACCCTCAGTTCTAATTCCAGCCAGTTTGATGGGACTGTTTGTTCAATAGAAAGTAACACTCGCTATCAGCCATGTTCACCATAACACGTACAGCTGTCAGTACTGTGCAATAAGCTTATCTAGAACCATATAGAAGCATGTTTTCAGAATGGTTTGTCATTAATGCTCTTGAACAGCATAGGCCGAACTAAGCAGAGCTTGAGATGTGGTTGTACGTGTCTAGCTTTACTGTGTAATTTATCTCTCAAACAATACTTTAGTCATTCCAATGTCAGAAACTCTGGCCAACACTCAGCATCTGTGAGTCTTTCACTAACCTACCATTCATTCAGGAACCATTATGCTTGAGGATCCAGATAATGTAGGTAGTAGCCAGGCAATTGATAATCCAGGGTTTTCACAGGTGTAACTGCAGTGTAACTGCAGCGTAACTGAAGGACACCCTAGGTGTATCTGTGGGTGTGACTGTCGTGTACCTGAAGGGTAACACAGGTGGAGATACAATGTAATTTAGGTAATCACAGGTGTAATGTAATCCTGATTACAGCAGTTGTAACTGTTCAGTAATCTAGGTCATGAGTGTATCTTCTGTAACTAGTATAATCTAGGTAAGCACAGGTAAAGTGTAATTAGTGTAATGAAGGTCACCACAGGTGTAACTAGAGAAGTCAAGGTCACCATGGGCATAGGGAGTGTAATATCAGGCAGCACAAGCAATACATGTGTAATCTTGCTAGCAAAGGTGTATCTAGTATAGTCAAGGTAACCACAGGTGTAATTAGTGTAATCAAGGTAACGTGTCATGAGGGTCACCACAGGTGTGACTGGTTTTATCTAGGTAACCAAAGGTAAAACTGTACTTCAGTCTTGGTTACCACAGGTGTAACAAGTGTATGCATGGTTACAACAGGTGTATCTTGTGTCCTATAGGTCTCCACAGGTGTGACAGGAGCAATCCTGGTGTACCATGAGTGTCAATGAGGTGTAACCTAGGGTAACTGAGGCTCATCTAAGTGGCTGCAGATGTGACTGTAGTGTAACCATGGTTACCAAATGTGTAAATGTATACTAATGTACAGGTACGACTGGTTTATCAGTGATATTATGCAGGTGTATAGCAGGTCTGGGCTAAATCAGTGACAGATCATAACTTATGCGCAGCTGGAGCTTAGCCTACCATATGTAGCCAAAGAGTAACAAACTGGTAACATGAGTAGAATCTTGTATCTGCGACCATATTCATAATAAAGATATGAAAGTTACAGGCCTCCCTTTAGTCCACCGAAATTCTTACTGTCATAGAATTTGTAGGGAAGGAGGAACCAAACATATCCGAAATTCCGAACTTAGGTTAGTCAGTAAGATGGTAATACAGGGTCAATGTCTACAAATAAACCATAAACTTTTAACTGCTGTTAGCGATGCACGGAGAACAGTTTCTACCATTCACTTTATTTATGGGGCAACTGGCATCTTTTGTGACTATTATGTTCTGTCAAGGTAAATTAAGTGGGATCTGAAAGCATGACCAGCAATTGTTAGATGAAATATTCTTTCCAGTCAAATTACATGCTGTTGTTTGGTGTGAAATGTTTTGGAACAAAATCTTTTGTTGTCAACATTTCTACTAAAATGTATTTTCTACAGCAAGTGGTTGTTTTAGTTGAACATATTGATAACATTGTATTGAATAATATCTGTGTTACCATATTTCTCATCTTCATAATCACCATCTTTATAACACATCTATTTAAACTAATAACCAGTCACTAGCTCATCATGAATATTCTAGTCTCTCCAGCTCTGTGTCAAGGATTAAGAAAGTTTGAGCAAGGTTGATTGTCGATGCCCTTGAAAGGTTGGCATCTGTTGCAGCTGAAGCAACTTTTATTTTGATTCTGTACAAGAAAACAATTGGTAAGGTTGTGGTACGTTTTTTCATGTCATTTGCACTATTTTAAAAATTATGGTTTTTATTTTTAGAAGTAATTATGACAGCTGTTACCATGGAACTATGACATCTTTGTGCATATGGACCAAATAATGACCCAGATAAAATGGCAGTAAAAGAAGTTAAACGTTTGATGAAGAGTCTGGGTTAGGGAAGAGTCTGAGAGGCCAATATATAATTGTTCTAGCTTCACTTAACTCTTGTAATGCATATATGCTTCAAGTGAATAGCTGTGGGTCTCGTGGTTGATTCTTCCTACCGAATGTAAGTGGACTGTGCCAGCACAGTATGTATATATGAAGTAAGGAAGTTCCATTGTTTTACGAAGGGGCCATTTGTCAGTAATTGTGACCACATTTGCCTTACACACATTATATGCGAGTCTGAAAGGAATGATGCATTGACATGATACTCTCAGAGTCATTTGTTGGTCTAGAATATGTGAAGTTCTCAAGAGATTCTGCCAGGCCAGGGCACACACTATACTCATGTTCTCATTAGCGATTATGGGAAAATTCAAGTTCGTCCTCATCTAAATTATACATTTTGAATTTTAATACTCAGAATTATTTGAATAATTTGCTTGTAATTCAAGAATGGTTAACTGAATAACTTGTTTTGGAAGTATGTTGATTTAAGTATTAGCAGGTTTGATCATTTTGGAGTGTACTTTGAAACCCTTTTGACTTGAACTCCATCTGTGTGATATATCAGTTGAGACAATGAGACACTGTCCCTTAGGATGCCATGTTGTCATGGATTCATTGTTATTCCATCATTGTAGAGGAGTGTTGCTGTGGGCCTCTCTAAACAGAGAAGGTAATGTATGTTATTTCTTTTGTGTTATAAGCAAATAGATCCTTTATATATACTACTCAGCATTTGGTAAGGACCACAGCCCAAAGACGACTATTTGGTCCTTAACAAATTTGGTGTAGTATACCTCCCACGTTCTAATTTCCACTGATGAAATTCTGGCAGAATCTCTCCTTACAGTGTTGTTGTCAATGATTAAACAGAATATTTATATATTATCCTGAAAAGTCAGTGATGTATTTATGTTTTTCAAGTTTTTATAAGGGTAAAAGTTAGATTCATTAAACCTCCATGTAACCACATTAGATTCCTGATGAACTGTAGATACCCTCTCAATGAAAGTGTTGTGTACCTACTCCTCAAATGTTATCTGTAGATTGTTTAACTGGTCATATACATGCAACATATGTAATGGTATCCCTATGCTGTACATGTCATCGTGAATAAAATCAAAAGTCATCGCGATCTTTTGTTGTCTTTACATCACTGGCAAGGATTTGAGTTCAAATGCGTCCCCATGCAGACGGACAGTGGGCTGGATGGCTGGTAGTTACAATGTTCGTTCATCACACTAAAGAACTGGTTTTGATTTCCACATGGGTGGAATATATCCTCCCAAATATTCCCCTGATTACTACACTTTTATGACATCATAACCAGAAATTTCTGCTTAGGCTGAGAATCACGCAAAACAATGTTATAATCCTCTTCACTTCCATCATATCAGACAGTTGTGTGGAATCCCTATCCTCCACAGGAAATCCAACTGTTCATGCCCGAGGCTGAAACCATTACTTCTTCCCTGTGTGTCCAGTCGCAAACGTAAAAGATGCTGCTCACATCTGAACAATGTTTGACTGTTGTTACTTTCTGTAAACTTCACTAATATAGGATCGGCTTATCAACGGTAATATACGGGCTATATCATTTCATAAGACCAAACACAAAAGCAGACGACAGCCTTCAGCAGACAGTGTGTATGAAAAGAAAGGACAATCCAGTTTTTATGTAGTTTGTCCAGAAAAGTTACTGTGGCAGATGAAGCCATCATCCTCACCAGGGTGTCTGCTGGATAGTCCTGCTCGTAATCCACATCTCAGATGCCAGTCACGCTGGAAGAACATGTGGACAGCAAACACAGAATGCAACAAATGCAATGCTGTGTCAGAAGGAGAGTTTGACAAGCCTTTTAGCATGGCATAGGAACTCTTACTTGTCTAAATATAATAGGTCATCAGAAAAAATGAAATAGTTTACTTCTGGCAAGGGGAAATTGGGCGCCTCCTTTTAATAGATGTCACAGCTCATCTCATTCTTGGCAACTGCCATGTCCCTACTTTATCTTCAGTGGGTTGACAAAATCACATTATCCGTGACAGGAAATGTAGGCAACAGTTTTAATTGTCTCCATCTAAAGAATTCATTATATATACAGGAGGATAGGATCTACTAGATCCATTGGTAGAGTATCATCTAGAATCAACCATATACTCAGTTGGTTTGTTTGTTGTTTAACGCTGCACTCAGCAATATTCCAGCTATATGGCGGCGATCTAAACAATCGAGTCTGGACCAGGCAGTCCAGTGATCAACAGCATAAGCATCGACCTACGCAATTGGGAACCGATGACATGTGTCAACCAAGTCAGCAAGCCTGACCACCCGATCCCGTTAGTCGCCTTTTACAACAAGCATGGGTTGCTGAAGATTAATTCTAACCGGGATCTTCACGGGCCTCCATATACAGACAAGTTGAGTCAGTAGGTTGTGTGAACGGGCCAATAGAAGCCATCGTGATTCTTCGAGATCCCAGTCATCATGAAGAATAGTGCACGATAAGGGCACCCTAAAGCAGCCTGTACTGACGCCACTCTCTCGTGCAATTTATGCAAGACTTCGTAAACGTGTTAACCCGTATATAGTTATGGTCCTAGATTTTCGAAGCTCTCTTAGCGCTAAGATAGTCGTAAGGTAATGTTAATGTATGGCACTTACGACTATCTTAGCGCTAAGAGAGCTTCGAAAATCTAGGCCCTGGAGTCCAAAATGCACACAGTGCAACTGACGATGGTGTCACCTCAAACACCTTCTAGTACTACCCTTGAACAGCGCGTTCGTTCTGCACTTCAAGCCATAGATCTGGCCATCGAGAAAAATACCACTTTATGTCATCACAGCTCACCCCAGCACATGCAAGGTATACAGCGGTTCCGTACATAAGACTGAAGGTGTGACATTCGATACTATTCCTAAGGAAGCATTTAAGACGAATTACTACACATCATTGAGGAATTACACCACCCAATTGAGGCCTTGCGTGCTACCAACAAAGCGGACCAAACTATCAAGTCGCTTCTTGGGAGTGCAGGCAATGGAGAGACCTTCCCTTCCTGTCATAGATAACGTAATTATAATATCGAAATCTCCCAAAAAAGATCTTGTAATACCATCTGTCAGCTAGGGAGCATACAGAAGTACGATGCTCCTTTCAAGCTTCATTCTACAGTCCATGAAAACTTTCTACGATCTGGTTTAGAAATCCAATACTAACATACAAGCAGAGCTGACTAGAATTGGAACTGATATGGAATACCGGCTCTTAACGGTTTGGATGCCAGACGTTCACTTTTTTTACGAATCTTACGAAAACGCGCGTCAGGAATAGCAGCCTTGGCCTCCAGGGGGTTAACTAGGTCATTGCACGTCATCACAAACTGGAGCATCACACGTCATCATTACAACTGGAGCATCACACGTCATTACAACTGGAGCATCACACGTCATCACAAACTAGGGCATCACATGTCATCACAAACTAGGGGATTGCATGTCATCACAAACTAGGGGATTACATGTCATCACAAACTGGAGCATCACACATCATTACAACTGGAGCATCACACGTCATTACAACTGGAGCATCACACGTCATCACAAACTAGGGCATCACATGTCATCACAAACTAGGGGATTGCATGTCATCACAAACTAGGGGATTACATGTCATCACAAACTAGGGCATCACATGTCATCACAAACTAGGGCATCAAACGTCATCACAAACTGGAGCATCACACGTCATCACAAACTAGGGCATCACACGTCATCACAAACTAGGGGATTACATGTCATCACAAACTAGGGGATTACATGTCATCACAAACTAGGGCATCACATGTCATCACAAACTAGAGCATCACACGTCATCACAAACTGGAGCATCACACGTCATCACAAACTAGAGCATCACACATCATCACAAACTGGAGCATCACATTCTGTAGCCCGTCATCACAAACTGGAGCATCACACATCATCACAAACTAAAGTATTACACGTCATCACAAACTAGTGCATTACATGTCATCACAAACTGGAGCATCACACGTCATCACTAACTAAAGCATCACACGTCATCACAAACTAAAGTATCACACGTCATCACAATTTAGAGCATCACACGTCATCACAAACTGGAGCATCACACGTCATCACAAACTAGAGCATCACACGTCATCACAAACTAGAGCATCACACGTCATCACAAACTAAAGTATCACACGTCATCACAAACTGGAGCATCACACGTCATCACAAACTGGGGCATCACACGTCATCACAAACTAAAGTATTACACGTCATCACAAACTAGTGCATTACATGTCATCACAAACTGGAGCATCACACGTCATCACTAACTAGAGTTATTTCAACCTTTCTGTTGGACATCTAAATCACTGTTACTGGTTTATTTCGGCATGGACAATTTAATTCTTTTTTTAAAAAGATGCATTTCACCTTAATATGAATGCATTTGAGAATTTGTTTTCGTGATTTGCATAAAGCTGTGTTGTTAAGCTTTCTTGTAAACTATAAATACCTTCTAACAAATCTTTGATAGTTGACTGAACATTGACTGAACATATGTTTATATAGTATGCAATTGTTCAACTTCGACAACGAAACCCGTGAAGATCCGGGGTAGAATAGGTCTTCAGCAACCCATTCTTGTCATAAAAGGCGACTATGCTTGTCGTAAAAGGCGACTAACGGGATCGGGTGGTCAGGCTCGCTGACTTGGTTGACACATGTCATCGGTTCCCAAATGCGCAGATCGATGCTCATGCTGTTGATCACTGGATTGTCTGGTCCAGACTCTATTATCTACAGACCGCCGCCATATAGCTGGAATATTGCTGGGTTCGGCGTAAAACTAAACTCACTCACTCACTTCGACAATGTTCCAAACGTGACATATCACGTATTAAACGAAGTGTCAACAAAGTAAAATGCCATATAGCTGGAATATTGCTGGGTTCGGCGTAAAACTAAACTCACTCACTCACTTCGATAATGTTCCAAACGTGACATATCACGTATTAAACGAAGTGTCAACAAAGTAAAATGCCCTTACTCTTCGTGAGCAATATTGCTTCACTAGTGGTCTGCACAGTACAAGAGTTATCGAACTTATAAATAGGGAGAGGCGCTGTATCAGTGTTCGCCGGCTCCAGTGTCAATTTGACATCCAAGAAGCACCGGTTTCTCCTTCGTGTGGGCCCGTATTTTCGATCAAACTGGCGCTAGAGTGGTTAACAATGGATCCAAAAACATTCATGGATATTGCTACGGTGGTTACAAAACTGAAAATGTACCCCTATTTCGACATTGCACATTACGTGCTAATGTGCTGTTCTGTACGAGAGGATATGCCGCAAGGTGAGGATTCAGAGCTCTGTCTTGCTACAACTATCTTTGGCAGTCGCTGAAACCGACACCAAAACATAATGCACGTGTTCTTCGTGCTAATACATTTCTATTTGACATGTTTTCTTATATCTGATTGCAATGTTTGGTTGGCATCCCGACCTGACAGCTCGCCTTGAAGTGAAAATTCGTCTGCTAGCGTTTTGACTTGTAGTCAATGGGCTTGACTTTTATTGGTTGAGTCAGGTGATACAATAACAGTATGCATAAAAATATGTTCTGCATATGGGAATATTTTTCAAAGTAGAATTTTCATCACGATTATTTTAGGTCTTGTTTTGGGAAAGATGTTTTATTTAAAAATTGTATTGATTATTATATTTATGCCAAATTCAGACATGAACGATCACACAATATTTTCAACGCATCATGTTATAACTATTCTCAAATAGTCTTAAAACCTTTGCTATTTCAGTGATGGGATATACAATTGCATCCTATTTTGTTTTTGAAGATTATTTCTTATTGATATTTTTAGACATTGATGTGTGATATCAATATTTGTTTTATTTTTTATCCTTATATGGGCTGAAGTTGAACTAAAACAGGTAATGGGTGTAGCAACTACTACAGATTTACTATAGATTTGCTATGTGTGATACATGTATTCTGAGCGTGTCACCATGGCCATTTTGATTTTGATTTTGATTGTGTTCAACATGTTAAATGAGCGTATTGTTTTCACTTTTAATCAAATTAATATTTCAGGCGATTTTGTTAGTATTGATAATGAGCATACTGCTTTTGAATGATAGTAATACATTGTATAAAGAAATAATTAATTATAAGTAAAAGATTGAGTATCATGATTATGATTGATGAGTAAATCATACAGATATAGAAGGCAGCCAAACATAATACTCTTGAAAGGTACAGAAATTATTTAATAGTTTTTTCTCATTTTTATCATTTGTCCATTCACTTATATGTAAGTGAATACTTTTTCTGTGGTTTGAAAGATTTTTCAAAAGTACCAATACTAAGAAAATGTCTTGGACTGACCAATCTTCTGATAAGTACAGTGCAGTATAATTGCTAGACTAATGCTTAGTCTCTGAGTATATTAATTTTGATAGTAACAAACAAATCCATATATATTGACAAGCAGCCCTGAGGGAGACCAGAGATTCAGACCAGAGGAAATCTAGACTTACTTCATTTAGAGCTTTAGCATTACAGAGAGGGCTTGGCAGTAGGGAAAATAATGTGGTTCAGTGACTGTGATACAGACTATATAAATGCAGTCAATTCTACTGTCCTAAATAAATCAATATCATCTTTCTCTGTATATACATGTATCATCTACTCGTTGCATCATTGCAAAAGAAACAGATGGCCCCAAATCATTAACAATGGTAACTGAATCACAAATTAGTGTATGATGTTGGTTGTATTGTTGTGCTAATTACAGATGTACACCATGTGCTTGGCCATTCATACAACTGCTTGTGTGGCATCAGTGGGAGTGACTGTGTCCATTTAGATGCTGGACACTTGATCCCTCAGTATGGCTGACTAATGACACGGCCAGCTGGAATGCATTTACTCAGATCAGAGATCAGGGGATCCATTAGATGCATCATTGATTAACCACTATTCAGTTTTTCCGAAATCGAGTGTTGGGGAAGGGATAGGCAAGGGGGAATTCTGCAGTCTTTGAGGTTTGCCCCTATAGAGATTTTCAAGCTCTATAACCCTTTAATTTTCAGGTTATGTACAAGAATTCATTACTGTTTACAAATGTAAATAATATTTTTTTATCAGTTATTGCATTGAGATATATACCCTCCTTTGTCCTTGATGGGTGCATAGGTCGATAAAGACATATTGTTTAGTTCATCTGACTAAATGTCATGTGAAGTTTATGATGTCATGGCCTGCTTGGCCATCATGCTGTCATAGAGTAATAATTAATACAAACTTGAATGATTAATTATTACCACAACAAGCAATATATTAGGATCAGATATTACAAAAATATAAATGTAAAATGTTAGTTCCACCATGATCAGTAATAGCCAAGAGAAAGACACCAGTCTAAGGTAATAAAAACCCATGTCACAGAAATTCTATTCAAGAAGGTTCAAGCTATGAGTTCATAGTTTAAAAGAGGTTTCTAGATAAATCCTAGCCTAAGGTAACAAGAACTCATCACTAAGACACACTGAGAGACAATGAGATAAAAAGGTATGTCCATATATTTTAAGAAATTGCCTGAATCTGTTTTGGAAAGTAAACCTACCATCATCTCTAAGCTAATGCTTCAATTTAGGCTCATTAAGATTTACCCCAATACAAAAGTGTCTATTGCAATATCATATTCTTCTTCCAAGCATCCAGTAAATGTGTGAACAAAGTTAGTGTCAGTTCAGTTAGCACCCTCTCTGTCTGGTCATTTCATTTATTGTAGGGCACATCCCATTTTGTATCATCAATGAATTTATGATCTTTTTATTGTCTCAACTTGAAATAAATAGTTAGAAAATGACAATGTTACGCAGTAGGGGTTAGACTCACTAACACACAGGTTAACGCTAACCCTCAGCTCAGAGGGTTGTACCGACTCTTTGCGGTCACCCAAACTATTTGTAAGACATTGTTATTCTGTTCCAGTAAATAAAATAGTAATTAATTTCTTGTGACTTCAGACTTTTTTCTGAACTAATCACCCACAACAACCAGCACACCATTTAGAAGGCGTTTCACCATCAAAACCACACTGTACCATACAAAGTACCATGATAATGCACCAGTGTAGCTGAATCTTCATGTGCTTGTTCCCATCAAGTAATGATGTGCTCATTCGTTCAAGAGTTTCAATTTTCGATTTTCAGTATGGCTGCCATGGCAACCCCGGTAATGGGGGTTAACAATATGTTCTGGTTTTAGCATCATTTTGAATTTTGACCTTTATTTTTTACATTTTCAAATAACATCACTGAAAGATAAAGCTGCTTATGGCAATACTAAGGCATTTCACTTAAAAGTTTGTTCACTATCTCTTTATCTCAAATTTAACTTCAAAACAAATTTTACTTGCAGTTAATGGATTTAGTAAGTGCTCCCTTTCATCAATTTTCAAAGCACCTAGTGCAATTACTAGAGTGAATATGGTACACATACACTCATGACTGTGTTGAGACATGTGTTCAAGCAAGAGCTAGGGTCAACATGAAAGTTTACAACTTCATGACATAGCGACCTTCAGCTGAGTGGCAAGAAGTGCTTGTTGTGCCATATCAGAGGACACAGGGGCTTGTAACGCTATAAACTGCCATCAAGGTATATTCTGTAGCTGATGGGGTCTTAGTACTCCTTTTATATAGTACTAAGACCCCATCAGGGACAGTATATACCTTGATGGCAGTTTTTAGCGTTACAAGCCCATGTGTCATAGACTTGGGTTGGATTCCCTTTAGGGTAGACTAATGTTTAGTCTCTGAATCTATATGATTTTGAAAGAAACTATCAATCCCTTTTAAACTAAAAAGGAGCCCCCGTGAAAAGGGAACTTGTGGAAATCTAGACTTGCTTCGTTTAGGGCTTTAGCATTGCAGAATGGACGAGGCAGAAGGGCAAATAATGCGGTTCAGGGACTGTGAGACAGACTACCTCCATGGGTATGATGTGACAAGGCCATTCTCTGTGTTCCTACCAAAGGGTTATGTTGTGGAGCAGTGGACGTCAGTTTAATCATTGATTTTTCATTCTTTGTATATATCATTGATGGTTTAGTCTGTAACAAAACACACTAGTAGTATGTGTTGATTTAATCTTCTTTTCTACAGAAGTGTATAATTGTTTTTGTTGGCAGAGTCAGGACTGAATGTCTAGCAGCCTGTGACATTTGCCACTAGTCCAAAGCCTCTCGTCTAGTAAGCTCACCTTAAAATCGTCCAGATAATCACAAAAATCATAAGAAAAATGATGCTAAGACCCATGTTCAGGCTAGTAAAATGTTTCATCTTGGAATGAGACAAGTCCTTTGTTGTATTTACCAGTCATTGCAACTGTGTTAGTTTCATCAAAGTTATAAGAAGAGGTTAGCTTGGTATTTGTAAATGTGATTCATCAGTATATGGCATGTATTCAGTGGAGTCTCACTTTGTGTAAAGACCAGGAGTGAGTGATTTAACATACTGGTTGTCTGCATTTAGGTGCCTGTCATTGTTTCTGGGTCAGCTAGGGAAGTGTCACTCAATCTGCACCACCAATTTCTCAAGTTGAAGCTATAAGTTAAACAGTATGATGAACATACCTTGCAGCTATTTTGTGTGGAACTTGTCAAGTCATACACATCCCACTACTGTCAAGCTTATTGTTTTTCTACATTGCCCATGGCTATCTAATCCCCTGGTATTGTTTGCTTTAGGTCATTCATTCCAACACAAGTCATAGAGTCACTTGTCAAAATGGAGTGTAGGGTAAAACTAATTGTTCTGAGGGTCGTAACTTTAGATGTGGAGATAGCTCCAGGTTATGGATAGTAAAGAAGGGTTGTTTCAGAAGAGACCTAACTTTTCAGTCTAGACAAGACTTGGCTGAGTGCCAAGGGCACCCCATTGCATGATCCCATTGAAGATATGCCTCACACCTCACATGCTTAATACTGGAGTATGTATGTCACATATGTAGAAATGTTTGTGTTACTGTATGCTAGGCATGTCTGTAGTGTACACTGTACTCCAGTATCTTATATGCCAACTGCCGGTCAAGGCAGCACATTCATCTGTTAATCATGTTTATTGATATCTGATACAGTTCTTGTAAGAGAAACATTAATGGGATATTAAACAATGAATGAGTACTTAGTCTCCAAACATTGTCCATATGATATTTGATTTATTTGACTTATAAACATGACAAATAGTAGGAATTTATCATGAGGTCAGGTTTTTTGGACGGACTGAAAAACTGTTTCTTTATTTACACAGTGATTAAATGGCAACAAT